AAGGAGGGGGGGGGAGGAGAGGGGAGAGAGAGAGAGAGAGAGAGAGAGAGAGAGAGAGAGAGAGAGAGAGAGAGAGAAAGAAAGAGTTGAACACAGATCTGTGGCAAGGGGAAAGGCAGTAAAATGGGGAAAGGATTCCACTTACAACCTTGATATCCAATAAGGATTTTAAATATAGGCTTGGAACAAAGAAAACCATGCTCACCCAGCATCACCAGACACTGAATTTGTCTCTGTATTCCATTCTGTAATTCTTGGTGATAGCATTTGCAGCTTATGGTCTATGTCAGTGGGCACAGGGGCACTAGCCCAAGCTAGTCACATGCACCACACAAAGGCTGCATTTTACTGGTGGACACCAGTGTCTTCAGTGCTGGTCCCATAAAACATTTGAAATCACTCATGCAATTGTTTCTTGTTTCTTCTCAGATTACAGCCCATGGACATGACCCACACCTCACAAAAGTGGTTATTCCAGAAAAATTCCAGACCTTCAGTGCTCTTAAAAAGGATTTTCACCTTCCAATCCAAGGAAAACTAGATTCTATCCTGGTATCAAATCCTTCATGCCCGCTGATTCCTCTATACAAAGTAATGCCGAGCCACTCAGTTGCAACAAGGCCTGGTTTGTTCTTATTTTCCATGACTCTATTGCTCATATTTTTCAAATAAAGTAAAATGTGAAACAACCTCCATCACCACCTGGAATCAGGGATCAGTCACTCCAGGTTACTGCATCTCTAACTCCCTCTTGTGGAATGGCAACTGGATAAATGCCACTGCCTTCCCTAAGAAGGAGAATGGATGATTCCAAACCTACATTGAGCAACATGCAGGAATAATGAAAGGAATGCTGGGTCCAGATGAACGGAGTAACTACTATCAAGTACTACCCATAGACACTTCATCTCAAAGTTGTCTTAAAAATATTTAAGAAGCTTGAGACGAAAAACAGATGTTTCTGTGAGAAAAAAAGAGGAGTTAACTTTATATACAGCCAAATGAATCCAAGCAGCAGACATGCACATTTACTGATCACCTACTTTGTATGAGACTTCGCCATGAGTGCTGTTTGTGACGAGAGAATGCAATATGCAAATGGGTCTCCACAAAGGAATACTAGATCATAGGACTGAGAATGTTTACTTTTGCTAATGTTCTAAGGAGAAACAAGAGGAAACAGGCAAACATACCTTAGTGGTCTGAGAAAATGTCCCTGATGGGATGACAAAGTTGTGTCTACAGATCCCCAACACAACAGATCACGTCTTCCTCTCCAGAGCCAGTGCCCTTGCCTGTCTGTACCTAGATGCCACAGTTCTGTTCTGTTATGATGACCCCTTTTATATAATTCTGGACTCTTGCCTGAGCCTCAGATACATACCCAACTGCCCACTAGACACATCTACCTGGATGTGACCCATATCAGCCTCCCCTCATCATGTTGAAAATTGAGACTCCAGTCTCCTAGAGCTGTTCCTTCTGCTGTGTTGAGTCAATATTGTGTCTCTCTTCTTCACTTCATATATTCAGTCAGTCACTGAAGGCTCGTATTGATTCCTCACTGAAGGCTAATGTTCATTCCTCCCTCTCCTCACCACACTTACCTGTGCTGCTGAAACAGCTTTATGGGTCTCTTGCTCCCAGGTATCTCTTCGGCAAATCCATCTGACACAGCACTGGAGAAAAGGGCTACTTAAAAATCAACCATCAGCCCCTTCTGCTTCCTCAGCACATAGCACACTGAGATCTCAGGTCTGGAATGCCATCCTGATCGTACTATTCAACTGGACCTTGCTTCCCACCCAGCAAAACTCCATTCCAAGCATCATCTTCAACTAGGAAAGCTTTACTGCCATCCCACGAAATCCCAGGCACCCAGGTTCAAGGCCAGTGCTCCTTGATCCCTCAAATAAGCTGGCCATCTTGCTTATTGGACTTACAACACAGAAGTAGTATGCTCTACTTCATGTGGGCCTTCTCTGGTACACTGTGAGCTCTTGGAGGCAGGGTCTACTTGTCCGAAAAGTTCGTTTATGTAATGTATCCTCAGAGGCTAGTACAAAGTAGGTAAGAAATGAAGAGGAAAAAACAAAAAGATTTTAGCAATCTGCTACAGATTATTTCAGAAACTAAGAATTTGAATATTTTTATAAAACTAAGCTTTATGTTTGGCAATATTCCACTCACTAGTAACACACACACACACACACACACACACACACACACACACGGTGGTGTTTTCATGTATGTATCAAGAAAAAAATCCAAAGATAAATGCAAGTGAACACACTGTCAGGTAGGATAGTGATTTGCTAGCTGTAAATAGCACTACAAGCTACCTTCCATATCAGAAAATAACATTTTTAAGATCAGTACTCAATTTGAAGCAGTTGTTCTCCCCAACGAAAGTCAATTTACGTGAATGCATTGTAGGAACTAAGAGGAAAGATCAAACAGACAAAAAACCAGGAAGTGTGGTATGTAGATTTCTGAGTGCTGTGCGTTGCTTATAGCAAGTGAGTTGCTTCATTCCTCAGTTCAAAATGCTACATGAGAAAACTGCGCTGGGCACATGGCAAAGGCTTGAGAACCTAAAAGACTGAGGCGATGCATGGGCATCTGGCTTCCCTTTTCTGGTGCCAAACTTATTCTGTATTTTAATATCAATAGTATAGTTTTTAACCACTTGTAAAATTTTATAGTAGCATGAACATTTTGATCATTATTATTTAAGCATTAACTTATATCCTGGAAAGCATGAATAGTTCAGAAAATGACTTTGGTATATTACTTTTAAAATATATACAGCTAAGCTGGAGTGGTGGCTCACACCTGTAACCCCAGCACTTGGGAGATTTCCACAAGTTCAAGGCCAGCCTGGACTACAAAGTGAGACCCTGTCTCATAAAACCAAAATGACAATAATGTAAGACTAAACTTGATTTACCATCAGCTGGGTATTCTGAGTTCTAACTTACCCTTTTCTAAGATAGTTTTTAAAAGGCCATGAACTGGGCCTGGAGAGATGGCTCGGAGGTTAAGAGCTCTTTCCTGCTCTTCCAAAGTACCTGAGTTAGGTTTCCAGCATCCATGTCAGGCAGCTCACAAACACTTGAAGCTCCAGCTCTGGGGTATCTGATGTCCTTCTCTGGCCCCTGCAGGCACTTGCACTCATACACACACACACACACACACGAATTATTATCTGAATTGGTTCATGGTCCTTAAAATAACTTCTTACTGAAATAACTTTTATGTGGGTGTGTCATACTGGAGATTGGCTCAAAGCCTTGCATATACCAGGAAATTGTTCTACCATTGAGCTATATAGCCACAGCCACTTTTTTTTTCTTTCACTATTTGAGACAGAGTCTCGGTAAGTTCCCTTACTGGCCTTGAACTCACCACAGTTCAACTTGGCCTTGAATTTGTGCCTGCCTTAGCCTCCCCAAAGTAGCTAGGATTACAGGACTGCACCACCAGGTCTATCTTGAAATAACATTGTCAGAAATTTGTATCAAAAACCAATGTCAAATCATGTAAAGGCAAACAGGGTGAGAGGTATAGTTCTATGATAGTATGCTTAGCATATACAATGCCCTGGAGTCAATCCCCACTACCTGCCCCGCAAGGCCAAACAGCTATGGAATTATTCTATGGTCATATCAAGTCCTCAGTCCTCCTGAACACCTTTCACTGCTCCCCTCTAAGCTGAAGGATATGCTCTTGAAGCTCTAAATCAAGAGTGACAGAAGGCAAGAACTCTAACTTTAAATCTAGCACCCATTCCCTTATTTATACAAAGACCCCCCCCCCCCACTTTACAGTCACCCATAATTGCTGGAAACAGTGGTAGGACAGACCACGTTTTGGTGCCGTGTTTGGTGCTGATCCAGGTATAGAAAGCACAACTAATACTCAGGTGGATAAATATTTTGAAGGCAGTATACCTTATTAAAGGCTAAATTCTTTGCCTTACATATTAAAAAATTGACCTGAAACACTGGTTAGCAAGAATCATGTAATCAAGGAAGCTTTCGTGAAATGGCACAGCTTTCTCATGTGCCTGCTCAAATTGTGCTGGTTAACAGAAATCTAAATGGGGGATGTTTTAGACAAATGTTAATCCTTGCAGACCAGTGTCAATGTTGATTTTGGTGCTTAAATTTTCACATTCAGATAAACTGCTGAATGTATCAGAAATGTTCAGCCTCCTCTCATTTCTGAGTCATTCCAGAAATCAATTTTGTGCTTTGTTGCAGAGGCAATTCTGTAATGTCTCTAAAAATGGTATTAATCTACCTTTCCAAAGTATAGGCTGATGTTGGACTAGAAGTTGCTATTCCTAAGAAATGCACAGAAACAGCATAGCACATGTATCTTGCTGCAGCAGGCTGTCTTTGAGAAGCATGGCTGATTCTATAGGGTAGCAATACAGATGATGCTATAAGATTGCTTCTGTCTTCCTCCAACCGTAGGAAGAGGGAGAAAATGCTGTCGGCTGGAGTAAGGAACACTAAGTTCTTGATAGCTGAAATAGGTTTCACATTCCTGGGTTTGTTCTAGACTTCACGTCACTAATAAACAGATACTGTACTGTATTACTCACAAAACATTTTAAGCATATTTTAGCACACAAAGCACCCCACAGCCTTTTACTAGAAGTTTCTTGTTGATTTTACAAGCTTTCTCAATGACTTTCTTTTATACTATAATTAAGAACCTAATGTAAAAACAAAAAAGGAAAATATTAAGATGCATATATTGTTCAAGACTATAAAGTTTATTGGGGAGGGGCCGTGACTACCTCTGGGCTTCTTAAATTTAGATTATCTTATTATCAATAAAGAATATTCATATAGTGAATGCTGTCTCTTGTTACTTTGAGTATTTTTTTCAAATTTAATAAAATCTGTAAACTAAAAAAGACTACCACCAAATATACCCTAGCAAAAATCAATTTTATTGTCTTTTATGAGGCAATAGTATTACAAAAATTCTTCAAAAGTCCAGACAATCATTCCAGGACAGTTTATGCTATTTATGATACATTCCAAGTTAATTTGGATTATGTGGAGGCAGGTCTCTTCTTGTTTTTGCCATAATGCATACTCCAAGGTAGCTGGCCGGAAAGCTTCCAGGCCCTAACACCTGTCTCTGCTTCTCATCTTGCATCAGTACAGGAGTTATAAATGCATGCCACGGAATCCAGGTGGTTTTTTTTTTTTTTTTGGTTTTTCTTTTTATTTATGAGTATGCGTGTATTGCCTGCATGTAGGTAAGTACACCCGTGTCGTGCAGTGCCCACAGAAGATAGAAGAGGCTGTTGGATCCCCTGGAACTGGAGTTACAGAGTTGGCAGCTGCCATGTGAGCGCTGGGATTCAAACCCAGGATTTCTGCAAGAATAGTCAATGTTCTTAGCCACTGAGCCATCTCTCCAGCCCCTTGTTTTTTAACACAGGGTCTCACTATATAGCCATGGCTGGCCAGGAAATTGCTGTGACTAGGCTGGCATCAAACTCACAGAACTTTGCCTGCTTCTACCTCCAAATGCTGAGATTGAAGGCATGAACCAACATGCCCAGCTGAATCCAGTTTTTTACATGGGTCCCGGGCATATAACTCAAGTCTTCAGGCCTGTGGCAATCACCGTTAACCCAGAGCCATCGCACTGGCTCAAATATCTCAATTTTAAAAGAACGCAGTTTCTCCATTTTTTAAAACAAAATTTGTTTCAATATATTAAGAAACCTTTGGGCAGAAGTTCCTTGGAATAATTTAGCCAGACCTAGGTATTTAAATTTGTAGCTGCTGGGGCTGGTAAGATGACTCAGCCATTAAGAACACTGGCTGTTCTAGCACAGGGCCTGGTTTCAGTCCCCAGCAGCCACACAGCAGCTAATCACCATCCTTAACTCTAGTTTCAGGGGATCCAACACCCTCTTCTAGCCTGTGAGCACTGCATGACACAGGTACACTTACATACATGCAGACTAGAGCATTCACACACAAAATAAATTTTAAAAATTTAAAATTTGTAGCTATTGAAGTTGAAAGATTTGATGGACGTGAACCATCAGTCCAAGAATCTGCTTAAAATTGGCATTTAGTAGTGACAAAAAAAGTCCTATTTGGCAGGAAGGTGGAGACCAGGCATTGCCACTATTGAAAACATTACCAACCAGTCCCAGAGCAAGATAGTTTTTAAAATAAACTAAAAGTAAACTAATTTTTATTAATTTGTTTTTGCATGTGTGCCCAAGTCCCAGAGTGCACTTGTGGATATCAGAGAATAAATTCTAGAAGTCTCCACCACATGGATTGAATTTAAGGTCCTGAAGCTTAGTGGCAAGTACCTTTACCCAGAGTCATGACACCAGCCCTGAACTAAAAATGTAAAAGCCTTGGACATAAGGGAAAATTAGAGAGAAAAAAATCAAATTATAAACAATTTTTAGATGAACTGATTTTCCTCTATTTGTGTGTGTGTGTGTGTGTGTGTGTGTGTACAAGAAACAGGTAAGAGGACAAGAAAACAAAGGAAACTGAATTCAAAGCCTCATCCATGTTATCACAGCTTAAACCCCCAACTTCCAAATTTTCTACGTTGCTTTGTTTTTTTATTTTTATTCCACATGTGTGTTTTGTCTGCATTTAAGTGCATCTCATGTATGCAGTGCCCTTGGAGGGCACTGGATCGCCTAAATGTAGTTAACAAGCAGTTGTTAGCTGCCACGTGGGTGCTGGGAACCAAGCCTGGGTCCTCAGCGAGAACCACCACTGCTCTTAACTGCTGGGCCATCTCTCCAGCCCGAGATGCTGCCTTTATAATGGGGGGGGGGGACAATTTATAGAACAGAACCTCAGAATCTCGGGTTTCAGAGCCAATTCAGGTGATTGCTAAGCCTTTTCACATGTTCATATACATTTCTAGAATTCCTTTGAAAATAGCATAGGTCAAAATAAGCTAATGTCCAACATTAAAGTATAGCTTTGGGGGGGGGTCTTTTTTAAGACAGGGTCTCCCTGTAGCTCCAGCTGGCCTGGCCTGGAACTCGCTATGTAGACCAGGCTGGCCTCAACTCACAGAGACCCACCTGCTTCTGCCTCCTAAGTGCTGGGACTACAGGCGTCCACCACCATGCCCAGGCTTCTTTTGACTTCCACATACACAATGTCACACATACACAAATGAAAAATATTCCAAATGCCCTTTAAAAATAAATTCAGCATTCAACCAGAGTACTACTATAAAACTTCACAATGTAATTCTATGACAACTTGAAGCTCACACAAGAATGGCAACCAAGCATCTTTAAAACCTTCATTAGAGGGACTGGAGAGATGATGGCTCAGCGGTTAAGAACACTGACTATTCTTGCAGAAGACCCCAGGTTCGAATTCCAGCACCCACAGGGCAGCTAACAACTATAACTCCAGCTCCAGGGGATCCGACAGCCTCTTCTGTTCTCCACGGGCATTGCACAACACGGGTGCATTTACCTACAGGCAGGCAATACACACATACGCATAAAAAATTTAAAAAATATTTAAAAAAAAAACTTCATTAGGAATTTTTAAAATTTAAGCAAAATAATCTGATAGCTTAGCTTTGTGGTCTGCAGTCTATGTGCTCTTGTTGTAAAGCCAGTCTCAAGACCCAGGGCCCTACACTTTGATTCATTTTTCAGTGCTGGGGAACTGAACTGAGAAACTCACCCATGCACAAAGTCACCAGCCTTAATAAATCCCTACTGAGCAGTTACCCATATGTGTGACAAGGGGTTTCTGCTTTCTGGGGATTTAGTTTCAAAGAGAATAAAAGAGCAATTACAACAGGGTTGCACCACTTACTATCTCCCAGCTTGCCTAGTGACCCAAGTACAGCATAGAGAGAAAAGAGCATTCCTGCCCTACTTAACTGCATCAGTTCCTACTCCTAGTGTCTTGGTGGCTCCGAACTACATCAAGCTGTGCATAGCATGTGTACTTCCAAAATGAGACAGTACAGCCAACCCAAAAAGGAAGCATCCGGACCCGTGCCTTAGTTAGCCAAAAAGAGTATTATGAAAAAAATGTAAGACACCGTTATTTTCTTCAAACAATTCTTTAAATATTTAATAAACCATTTATTTGCAAATAAATAATGTATATCAAACCTAAACATTTAGACATTAGTAATCCACAAGCATATAAAATCAAATTCAAGATTATTAATTCCAAATTTATGAAGTTTCAGGACTGCCAAAGTTAGTACTAATTCCATCAGCTCTTTTGTTTGCTACTTAGCTGTTACAAATATTTAATCATGGGGGGAGAAATCTTTTTGTAGTTTAAGCCAAAAATGTATCGCCAGCATGAAACTGCCCTTTGGTTACACGAAACTTAGTCTGGTTGGATAATTTTTATTGTTTTTTGGGGGGAGGGCATTTAAGACACCTCGGCTGGTCTGAAACTCAAGTTCTGGGATTAAAGGTGTGTGCCATCACACCCAGTCCCTTGTACCTGGTGCTATGAAAGCACTTTAAAAACTGTATGTGTACCCGATTGTATGTGCATGGGTGCACATGTGGTAGAACATGTGTGGAGATCAGAGGACACATTTGTTGAGTTGGTTCTCTCCTTCTACCTTTACTTGGGCTCCAGGAATTGAACTCAGGTCCAGGCTTTTGCAGCAAGCGCCTTTACCACCTGAGCTGTCTTGCTAGCTCATAACTTACAATTTCTAAAGAACAGAGAAAGTAGGACATTTCAGAATGTCAATAATTTAAATATTCAATCCTTCATGTATTCCTTAGCTCCTTACATGAAAGGTACTAAATAAGTTAAATGTTCTTGTATTTAAAAAAGAAAAAAGGAAATCTGATACTTTTCATGTGGCCAGTTCTCATGAAGGGCCCAATAACTGTGGAATTGTGGTTGAAGGGCAGGAAGTACACTTCCAATAGTCCTTCGAAGTAGAGATTATTTAAAACACAAGTGAGGATGAAAATGAGCTATATAGCCAATGCAAATTACATTAAAAACCCAAATATAAAATATAAAAAGAAGTGAAATTTTTCTAAAAGTTAATATTCACTATTCTTACTCCCAAGGAGAGTAAATTATACCACAAAGAAATTTACATGGACTAAGACACTTGTCTGCTTTAACTTACGTAAATAAAAATAAAACACATCTAATTTTTAGGGTTATACAGTTAGAAATATATAATTTTATGTTTATGGACAGGTCAGCTAGTTGAAATAAGTTAGCACAATCATTTGAATTGGTTGTCTGCACACTGGGCAGGGCTTATTCCTTTTCTTTAGTTTCTTTGCACATGTGAAGCATGACATAAGATGTCCCGTTTTGCCATGAACAATGCAACCATTTTTAGGTCGACCTTGGCAAATCACACACGGTTCAATGGCATTAAGGGGAACACTAGATTCCATACTTTCTTCTTTGTCTTGGGCTTCATCCTTCTCAAACTCTTTGACCTCTTCTTGGCTGCTATAAATAGTACTACCGGAAGTGGATGGCTGAGAAAAGTCCTCACTTTCTTGTGACTGCGAGCTTTCTGTGACTTTATCATTTTCCTCAACACAGGACTCTTTAGAATCATTCACTGTAGGTTTTTTACCATCAGGCACATCCAAGCCCTCATCTGTATGAGCTGAGCTTTCTAGTTTGACTTTTTCAGAGATTTCCCCTTTATCTTTCCCTTTATCTTCTGGAAGCCAGTTTTCACGAAGGGCCCAACATCTGTTGCAGTGTGATGGGAGAGGAGGATTCATTTCCTTGCAGGAAGTACACTTCCAATAGTCCTTCAATAAAAGAAGACATTAACTTTAATTATTCCTTATTAGTCATAGCAAAGCTACTAACTTAAATGTATCTGAGGTAAAAATGTATCACACAGTTCAATTTTCAGCATTTCGTGTTTTACATAAAATAACAAGAACATGAAAACTTCAATTAATAATGTTTACCAGAAATTTACTAGGTACTTTCACCCCACATGTATACACACAAATAGTGAACTATGTGAGATAATAGCTATTTGTTTCACTGCAAGGTCTAAGATCAATCCCTAAAACTTTTTTATTAAAAAAAACCTAAGACAAAAATAAAAATCGTGGTGTTGGAGAGATAGCTCAAAGGTAGAGAGTGCTTGCTGCTCTTGCAAAGGATCCAGGTCCTGTTCCTAGCACCAACATGGCAGCTCACAACTGCCATACATGCAGGCAAAACATTCATAAACATAAATCTTTATATATATACACATATTGGGGGCTGGAGAGATGGCTCAGCAGTTAAGAACATTGACTGTTCTTGCAGAAGACCCCAGTTCAAATCCCAGCACCCACATGGCACTGCAAGAGCAGCTAGTGCTCTTAACAGCTGAGCCATCTCTCCAGCCCCTATAACCTAAATTTTTGTTTTCTTCTTTTCAGTATGAAATGAGGTCCTCAGTTTCTTACATGGGGAGAGCAATACTATCATCTGCATTAACAGAGGGTCCTAAGGATTGGTGACCTGCTCACTGAAGCATGTTCATTGTGATCTCATATGTAAAGCAATAAATCCTTTACGTTAACCAATGAAAAGCCAAGAAAAGTTTTTTTTTTTAATTTGACAAACTTGAATAACTACTAAGGGATGACACAGAAGTCATGTGTGTACTGAGACTATGTATTAATTAGATGAATTATACATATTTTAAAGTCACATTTATTTATTTATTTGTATTCTTTTTGGCCTCTTTTGTGATTTCTCAGTTGTAAATGGTTATCCTTTTACAACTGAGAAAGGGTCTCCATGTAGCCAGCCCCAGCTGTCCTGGAGCTATGTGGACCAGGCTAGCCTTGAACTCACAAAAATCCACCTGCCTCTGCCTCCTGAGTGCTGGGATTAAAGGCGTGCGCCACCATGCCCGGCCTCCAAAAATGGATTAATTTTTAACAGGCTTTTAAAAATATAAAGTTGGCATTTTCCCCATGGGGACACTTTCAATGGCAAGGGCAGGGACGGAGGATATGACAGGGAGAGAAGGAGGAGGAGGAGCTAGTATAAAAAAACAAAGGGAATGGTATTAATCCAAAAACCTACTGAAAAATTATACATAGAGTATCCCTACCTGAATCTGTGAGTATAGCTGAAGACTACGTAACAAGAAACAGTGCCAGGCAGGAGAAACCTTCCTTGGAGTTGTTGGCCAGGGTAGTCCAAGAGACTCCCAAAATTACACAGGCTATTGCCACAGCCCTTGATTGCCTCCCAGAACCTGAGGTAAGACCAAAACCTATGCTGAAGACAAGACATACTTTGGACACAGGATTTGGAGCAATAGGGCTGGGATGGACCTAGAAGCCACCTCCCCTGAAAGCTAGTTCTCACAGCTTTAGGGAGCACTACACAAGCTGGTAAGGGAGAATATCAACCAATGGTCCAACCCTAGCTTCAAGGCCTAAAAACCACATCAATGACCAGCACAGCAAATGACATTGGTGCAGTAGTGGCACTTTCATCTTGTGGGTAATCAACAGCTACCTAATTGGACTTAAAGCCCACTCAATGAGAGGAAACTCATATCTGGTACTGTAAACCTAGCCAAATAAACATAGCTGGAGAGGTCACAGATCTTAGAGAAAACCCAAGGCCCTCATAGCCCTAGACAAATGTAATTTCTTACTATGTGCAAAATATGGATCCTTAGATTTACAGATGTATCCCAGTCACCACCCATCAAAGTAGCTTCCTTTTCAACAGACAGAGATTACTGCAGTTACACCACTGGTCACTCAGAGAGTCTCTCTGAATTGCCCAAGCCTAAGTGGCACATCTAGGATACAACCTCTCTTTATACCTACGGCTCATGGAACATAGAACAAGTGACGAAGAGAACACTAATGCACCTTTTAATTCTCATCAATGAAGCTTCCTCATGCCACAGAGGGCCAGGAACACAAAAGGCCACAAATGGCCAAAACACAAGAGAATAAAAGTCAGTGGAATGTGAATTCTTGGACAGGACTCCTCTACTGAGGTCCACCCAGCCAGTGCTCAGGGACCATTGCAGAAGAGGGGGCAGAAAGATTATAAGAGCCAGGGAGGAGGTGCCTGACCATACAGAAACAGTCCTACAGGCACCTGGGGCCCTTCTCATACAAACCTCATACAAAACAGCAATGGTGTCAGCATGCACAAAACCCATGCAAACTCAGGCCGACAAAAACCAAGCACAGAACTGTGGAAATGAACAGCAAGCCCCAATCTTAGTTGAAGAATTATTGGCAGCTGATTACTGCTAGGTGAAGAAGAGCTGACCTTCTTGAAGAGAGAGGCTCTAAATAGGCTGACTAAACCCCGGCAGATGAACTTGCACTGAGGAACATCTCAGGACACTAACTTTACAAAATAAGCCTTAATACAAATGACAGAATGTATTAACTCCAGTGGAGGGGCTATGAAAGGGTACAAAGAGGAAGGAGGCATAAAGATGATTTTATGTATGAAATACCAAAAATTCAATTAAAACAAAACAGCCGGGCGTGGTGGCGCATGCCTTTAATTCCAGCACTTTGGAGGCAGAGGCAGGTGGATCTTTGTGAGTTCGAGGCCAGCCTGGTCTACATAGTGAGTTCCAGGACAGCTGGGACTACAAGGAGACCCTGTCTCAAAAAAAGACAAAAAACAAAACAAAACTATATATATATATATAAGATAAAATGTCAGGGATGGAGATGGCTCAGTGGTTAGGAGCACTGACTGCTCTCGTAAAGGACCCAAGTTCAGTTCCCAGCTAACAACTGTCCAAAACTCCAGTTGCAAGGTATCCGACACCCTCTTCTGGCCTCCGAGGGCTTTGCATGACACAGGTGCACTGACATACATGCAGGGAAAACACTCATACACATAAATCAAAAATAATTAATAATAAATAAATAAAAATATAAAGTCAACACTGGCCTAGGAGGAAGGTAGCTCCCTGGTGTAGAATACTTGTCTAGCATGTACAAAGCCCTGGGTTCCATTCCTAGCACTGAAGAAAAAGTCAAAAGTCTCTCTTTCAAGTGTATGACTATCAGTACTTTTTTCTACCTTATCTGGAAAATCTTTAAAAAAATTAAAAATGGACTGCTTCCTGCACCTGCTTGAAGATGTGCGCACTCAGCTTTCTTCTGTCTTCCCCCTACCATGTCTCCCCACCATGACAGACTACAACCCCTCTGGAAATGCGCCTCTGAGTCCCACATGAGTGGTGGGGCTGAAGAATCCCAGGAAAGTGTGGGAGCTGCTGAGAGCACTTCATACTCTGTGACCTGCCCATGTGAAATCCTATGGAGCTGTGTGAAGAGAAGCATGCTGGGTAGGCAACAGCACCCTGATTCAAACTCCAGAGCCTTCTTGGCCCTAGCTCTGGTCCTGAGCAGCAATACAAGGGGAACCTGGAGATGAAATCCAGTGACCACAGCTGATCATTGATAGCCACCCCTTCAGTCTTCCAGGGACCAGAAAAGGCACCAACACAGTAATGCTGGCCACTATGGGACTCCAATGTGCCAAGAAATTTGCTGAAATGGTCAAAAAAAATTTTTTTTAAATATATTCACTGTGGTCTTGTATCTGTCAAACTGTATCTGTTTAAGCCAGACTGGATGTCACATGTCTTCAATCCCAGCATTTGGGAGGCAGAGGCAGGCAGATTTCTGTAAGTTTGAGGCCAGTCTGATCTGCATAGGGAGAGGAGACCCCATCTCAAACCACCCCTCACCACAAAAAAAAAAATTACTCTATTTGAAGATATAGTTCATTCACTTAGATTAAGTAAATGTTGCGGCACCTTTTCCTTCACATTTAAGTCTATTCCTACTCCCTTAAATTAAGCTCAATCCTAGGGGGCTAGAGAGACAGCTCAGCAGTTAAGAGCACTGGCTGCTCTTGCAGAGGACTCAGGTTCAATTCCCAGCACCAACATGGCAGTGAACTACCATCCCTAACTTCAGTTCCAGGAGATCTGATGTCCTCTTCTGACCTTTGTAGGCAATGCACAACACAGGTGCACCTACATACATGCACTCAAACACATAAAATATAAAATACATATTTTTTTTAAAAGCTCAATCCTGGGTACTGCCTAGATTCTAGTCAACAAAACTAGATGAAACCTGCACCTTTCCTAAGCAAACAGGTCCTACCCATAAATTACTAGGACTCCTTAAGAAGTGGTCTAAAGACCACAGCTCAACTAAATATCCCCTATTCCATCCACAAGAGAAACTGAAAAACAATTCTTCTCAACAACTACTGCCAGCTAAAATCTCCCACCCTTCAAAATATATGCCCCACATTTGTCAATCCTCTCTTGTATTCTCTGTACCTGGCCCAGTTTATCTTCCTTATTCCAACGTCTCTTCATACCATGCGACTGCAATAGCAAACTCTTGCACATCCTCATTTCTCATTGAACATATAGCCTATACCCTTGCCTAAACTGAAACATAAATCTTGACTGAGGACACTTTATACACAAAATATGCCATAAAAAAATCCTCCTAAAGTGTACCCTGAATTACCAAGAAATATTAAGGGTAAAGACTATTCATTCTCCACAATGATTCTTCAAGTTATTAAAGGTGGCTTCCACTAGCTCCCAAAGTCAAACACAAAAGCCTTACAAAAGCTGGGGGAGGATATTCCAAGTAATCCATCAAAAAAAAAACCCCATATTATTCCAAT